TAAGTTTAAAATAGATATTTATTTGTGTAGACATCCAAGTTTTTTTGTAACATTTGCTTTTAGCAGTGTTTGCTTTTTGTGAAATGGTAATTCCAAGTATATCCCTAAATGGCTGGCAAAGCATTTGAATGGATTGCATCAGCCATTGTGGACAATTTCCCATTTTAGACCAGGAATTTGTGGGGTCAAACACTGAACAAAGAAAGAGATTCTTGCTCATTTTGAGGCCAGGGGAATCCAGTGGCGATTGAGGGTTTGAATTGTAAATCAAGCCTATCATCTCCTTGTCAACTATGAGAAACTTCAACTCACTTTACAATCTATTAGAGTTTGTTATTTGGGGATTTTGTTGTTGTTTTCAGGAATTCGAAGCAAAATTTGACTCAAGAGGCATTTGTTCTAATTGGGCATTTAATCTGAATTTTGTAAAAAAGGAACAAAAATTAGTATTATTTAAAAACGATTAAAAGATGAGACAGTGCCAAAATTATGACTGTGTCTAACCAAATTACAGGATTACTCAGTGTTTTTCAAAGAGTGCTTCATGGGGGTCTTACATGGCCTATGCATAGTTAATAAATTGGACTTCAATGACTTCAATGTCGATGGCAATGTTACCAGACTAAATTGATAATGAATTAATACATTTGCATGTGAAATTTAATAAAAATGATCTTTACCTTACAGTTTCTACCAAAAGCAACGTTGACTTGTTTTCATTAACTGGGGAGATTTCTTCTCTGGCCATAACTAGGAACATAAGTGCGGACTGAGTAACCCACACAAACTTTTTGCCTTGCTGAAATGAAAACTTGATTCTGGGCAAAAAAAAAGTTTGAAAGCTACTGCCTCAGGAGTAGGGAACAGGCAAGTTGTTTGGGGCAGTTTATTGTGATGATTCAGGATTCATTATTCATTCCACAAATATTTATTGAACGCCTACTATGTAAGCTCCATGCAGCGGAGCCTGGGGTATGGTGACGGCCAAGCAAAACATGGTTCATTAAAAAAATCCCAGCCAGTAAAACAACCAAAATGGAAATGAGAGGATGAGGCCTGACTGCTGAGGACAGAATGTAGAGCAACCTGGCCCAAATCATGTCTGAGTAAAACGTCCCTACCTGATGGATGATAAAAGAATCTGTGCAAGGCTTTAGTAGGAGTCTGTCTGAGAGAATAATTATTACAATATGTGCTAGAAAAGAACCATAATAATGGACCATAAAAATAAACCGTGGCTCTTAACTAACACATCAGACCAGATCACGCTAGTTGATAAAAGCAATGAAGCCCGTGTGGTAGAGTGGTACCGCTTAGTGAAACTATTGTGAACACCTACACAGAAAGGAATTAGCAAGGGGATGCTGTTTGCCGAGGGCTGAATGTGGGAACTGCAGAGCATCAAAATAAAGCAGTTGAGATTCACACACTTGTACGTACACACCCACTCACCTCAACCTTATTAATCACTTCAAACTTACTTTATTTCAGCAATTGCCGTTTTACCTTAAGACTTTCATTGCAATATTGTGTTGCCCTAACATATTTGGTCCATGGGAGCCACAGTATGTCATAAATTAATACAGATTCATGTGTATTTAAAAAATAAAAGTGGGAACCAGGCTGTTAAATCAGATGGATCCCAGATGGCTGATTATGAGGTTTGAGTCCTGGACCTGGCAGCTTGAAAAACACTCTGGGTGTATATGTGTGTGTGTGTGTGTGTGTGTGTGTGTGTGTGTGTCCAAAATCCCAAAAGGAGAAATAGAGACATGATTGGGGTGTCTCCATCCCCTACAGGGTGTTCTTTCTGCGCCCTCTCGCAAAATTTAAAAAAAGTAAAATCATAAAATGACCATAGTAACTCAATAGAACCTACTGATAACTACATTCTGATTTGAGGACAGATTTCGTATTTTACCATTGTCTCTCCTGAGGCACAATCTCTTTTTTACTGACACATCTCAGGGGCTATCAGCGTAGATGGATCCTATTTCTCAAACGTAACATCCACCTCACGAGGATTTGCTAATGCACAGTAAATCTATATGGCTGAACCTTGTTCTGTTTCCAAGTACCAGCATCACAGCCTAATTTTGAAGGTATTTCCTGCAGCTCGTATGTAAATTGTAACCCCAAATTAAAAGAATGTAGCCAATACTAATATCAAACAGAATTGCTAAAAGATTAGTTTCATGGACTTGAATCAAAAGGAAAAGTAACAACATTTTGGTTGACCAGGGTTTGAGGTGGAGTGGTCATTACGGCAGGACAACACTTTTTCTTCCTACTTCTGTGCCTGGACTTGGCCGTCTTTCTCCCTCACTTTGGCTAATTAGTGAACCTCTCTACACCTTTAGCGGTAGCAGTTCCAGTATTAACCACTTTGTTTGGACATCATCTAATGATTCTCACTAATTACTACTTTCAGATGTAGGCCAACGTCTATAGTGGAATGTCCTCATTTTCCTGTCATGGTGTCTTGGGTTGGTTAGTGAGAGTGGCATCCTTTTGTGAAATTAGCCACTAAAGCTTTTAAGTGGTGCCCAAGGAAGACTCACTTTAGGCAGATAAGGGAATCATTTGTGTCTTGTAACCTATAAATAGGCAATAATAAAAGTGAGGTTCCAGTAACATTTTCCCAGAAAACTTCTCTCTACTTCCAAACACACATTTAGATACATAGACCTCCCTCCATGATTTGAAAATGTCTTACAGGCTTCCAAACTTGACTGGTATGGCACAGGAACAAGGGAGTGAAGATTAACATTCAAGTCCCTTATATAAAAGGGGACACTGAGACATGAACCAATTAAGTGATCTGGCAATGGTCTAGCAGACGAGAGCTACAGACTGAGAAGTTTCAGGAAAGCATTTTTAGAAATGTATCCAAAAAAACAAGGCATATTTAATTAAGGGATAACCCAATTACTTTGTTGTTTATTCTGTCTTGGTTCAAAATCATTTTCTCAGCTTCAAAGTCACCCTTCATTTTGAGACTTAGAAGCAAATTGTCAGCATTCATAGTGGGAGGAAGGATGATCTGTGATCAGTGATGGCAAAATCAAATAAATAATGAGATATAAGGAGTTAATTACTCATGACTTTCCCTAGACAAGGGAAAATGGAAAGATTTGAAAGATATTTGAATTCTCCTCTTCTAAATATAGTACATTCAAGAGTTTAAATAATATGCTTAGTACAGAAAAGCTGTAAAATTGTGCCAATTGCTGTATGGATGGGTGGCCAATGGAAGCTGTTTCAAATGAAGAGTGAAAAGGACCTTGCTCTGACTCAGCCAGGTGGTGCAGTCTGAAGCGTACTGGACTGCAGGACTGGAAACCACATGGCCAACCTTGGGTTTGGATCCCCAAGGGCAGTATGAAAACAGGCTGGACACCCAAAAGTCAGAATCTGGAGGGCTGGGAAAGGGGCTTGTGGCATGATGAGACTGGGTCAAGGATGCTTTCTTTCTCTCCCTCTCTCTCTCATGTATGCACAGAGGCCATCGTTTAAAAAACAAAATTTTAAAAAGAAATAAAGAAGGGCATTGCTCTGTGAAAATTGTATGAGGAGGAAGACTAGGGTTTTGAAGAGGATTTACACTTTACATTTACTTTGACTTTTAATATCTGATTGATAGTGTTATCTAAGATAATCTTTTCACTTTGTGGTTCAGAAAAGTGAAAGAGATAAATTTCCCAAAGAATATTTGTGAAATACATTTGTAAT